GTGCTGCTGTTTTGAAGCACACAATTTTTTTGAATTGTGGCTCCAGGGAACTGAGGCAGACCCTTAAATTGTCCTCTACATTCAGTTTTGCCCAGTGTTTATTCTTTAAGTATGTCAAAACTGAAAAAACAGGTTCACATAAGTAAGTAGTTGCGAATGGGAGAAGCACTCTACTTGCTGCAGTTTTATTTGGGGATAGGGTCAGCAGAGGCTAGGATTGGAATCATTGCTTCAGAACAGAATCATGTGAGATGTCAATCAGTTCCTCTGGGGCTTTCAAGCTGACATTTGAATTTGGAGAAAACTCGTCGTCAAATGGGTTCTTATGCAGTTACATGTGGTTAGATCACAACTGAGCCCAGTTTTCGAAATACTCTGTGCGAATGTAGGGAGGTGTTCAGCTACGTGTTCTTTAATATTCCCAATGGTGACATCACTGGCTGAGATTTCCAGGAGATCGTTCAGCGCTGAAAACATTTGAAATTTTTTGTTGTCGACTTGACTTCCAAAGATTCACTTTTTTAGTAAAGGCATATATTTTGTCATTGAGTTTGAGAATGTTTGTTTGTTTGTTTCATTTCCTTGTAGTGACTCATTCAATGAATTTAAACAAATGTCAGAAATGTCCGCTAGATACAAGAGAGCTGCCAACCAACCATTTGATGCCATTTAAATGCTTCTTCAGGGTGGAATCCACTTGAGTCAGAAACAAACACCGTATTTCTCCGTTCAAACAGGCGTGTTAGAACTCTTCCCCACGACAGCCAGTGAACCTCTGTGTGCAGTAATAAGTGCTGATGATCCAAACCCATTTCTCCACACAGACTTTTAAAAAGTTGGGAATTCAGTGCCTTTGCTTTAATAAAATTAATGATTGCTACAGCTTGACTCAAAATTGATTTAAGGTAGGGATGCATACTCCTACTAGCAAGAGCCTTCCTGTGAATCATGCAGCATGTCCACTGGGCTTCTGTGGCGGCCACTTTGTTTGCCGACAAGCCCACGTTTGATACTAGACAGCTGTCGCGGCATCAGTGCAGATCCCTACACAGCTGTTCCAGTTAATGTGTTCCCCCATTATAAAGGCATCAAGGAGCTTAAATATTTCCTCTTCCCTAGTATATGTCGGCAGTGCCTTGCAGAAGAGAGAGTCGTCTTTTCCTCTGTTTTTCCAAGTATACCGAACATAGACCACTAATTGTGCTGCCCCTGAAACATCGGTGGATTCATCAATCTATAAGGAAAAGAATGTGCTCTTTTTAATCCTTTCCACCACCTCAGACATATCCTCAGTACAATGACTCACTGTATCATCTGATAGTGGAATAGAGCTCAGCTGAGCGGCAGCATTTTTGCCAATCATACACTCACATTTTTTTAGATGCAGGAAAAATAAGAGATTCGGTGATGGTGAGGCTTCTTTGCCCTGGTGATTAAAAGTGAGAGAGCATAAGGTGCTTCCAGAGTTTTGGCTATCACAGTTGCTGTTTTGTGTAAGTTTTGTTGCTCAAGTTCATGAAGGGTGTTTTGTTTGTAAATGTCGCTGGAGTTTGTTTGGTTTTAGGCTGTTATTGGCCAAAACTTGACTGCACAAAACACACTGGGGACTTGGAATGTCTTCTGAGCCAGTGTAAGTAAATCCAAATGCCAAATAAGAACTGTAGTTTTTTCTGGTTTTTGGTTTTTTTCCTGCACTTGCAAATCTTGTTCTCCACCCTCCATCAGCTTGAGCTCCCTTCTTCGTGCCATGTATAATAAAATGATCCATTGTTTTAACAAATTAGTTTATTTCAGATATTACAGTATTATATATTTTTTTTATTTTCGCTACCTGTTTTTCCTGCTGTTAGTGGTAAGTCACGTTCTATGAAAACAAGGGCCTTGCTTAGGGAAGTGACACAATCAAAATGCCCTTGTTCTCATGGAGCGCCCTGCTCTGAAGGCAGAGTGGAGAGTGGCTCTGCTAGCCAGAGGCTGTGAAGGCTGCGCTCCCTGCCAGCTGCTGCAGAGAAGTAAGGGTGGTATAGAATCATAGAATTATAGAATATCAGGGTTGGAAGGGACCTTAGGAGGTCATCTAGTCCAACCCCCTGCTCAAAGCAGGACCATTTCCCAACTAAATCATCCCAGCTAGGGCTTTGTCAAGCCTGATCTTAAAAACCTCTAAGGAAGGAGATTCCACCACCTCCCTAGGTAACCCATTCCAGTGCTTCACCACCATCCTAGTGAAAAAGTTTTTCCTAATAGCCAACCTAAACCTCCCCCACTGCAACTTGAGACCATTACTCCATGTTCTGTCATCAGGTACCACTGAGAACAGTCTAGATCCATCCTCTTTAGAACCCCCTTTCAGGTAGTTGAAAGCAGCTATCAAATCCCCCCTCATTCTTCTCTTCTGCAGACTAAACAATCCCAGTTCCCTCAGCCTCTCCTCATAAGTCATGTGCTCCAGCCCCCTAATCATTTTTGTTGCCCTCCGCTGGACTCTTTCCAATTTTTCCACATCCTTCTTGTAGTGTGGGGCCCAAAACTGGACACAGCACTCCAAATGAGGCCTCACCAATGTCGAATAGAGGGGAACGATCATGTCCCTCGATCTGCTGGCAATGCCCCTACTTATACAGCACGGTATTGTCAGACAGCGTTGCCACCCTTACTTCTCTGATGCTGCTGGCGGGTGGCACTGCCTTCACAGCTGAGTGCCCAGCCATCAGCCTGCAATCTCACAACCCCCCTACAATGGTCTAGGGACCCCCACTTTGAGAAATGCTGGTCTAGGGAACTGTCTACTTCTAAAGTGTCCCATAGACCTTGGAAAAGACTTCACTGTGTTGAACAAAACTATCCTCAAGATGTTTTCAGAAAGGCTTGAGCCTCACTTTTTTAAATTTCTTGGATATTCACTTTATAGATGTCATCCTTTAGCCTTGCAGATTGTCACATTTATAAAGGCTGTGGCAACGGACTGAACTAGGGTTTTGTCACTTCCTATTGTAATGCAATAAAACCTCAGTCTAACACTAAATATTTCCTTCAGGAGTTAGTGAACATGCGAGCTGCTTTTGGTCAGAGCTTCATTTCAGCCTGCTGCTGATTCTTTTCCATTTTTGTTTATGGTATTTCCTAATACATCCTTGAAGCTGCCTATGGATTGATGAAGGTTCAAGCCACAGAAAAAAAGGAATTCCACCACTGTAAACATCTCTTGTTTTGTAACGACATCCCTGAAAATTTAAAGTTATAAGCGTTATGAATATTAGTAAAACAACAAGGAGTCTGGTGGCACCTTAAATACTAACAGATTTATTTGGGCATAAGCTTTCGTGGGTAAAAACCTTACTTCTTCGGATGAGGTTTTTACCCACGAAAGCTTCTGCCCAAATAAATCTGTTAGTCTTTAAGGTGCCACCAGACTCCTTGTTGTTTTTGTAGATACAGACTAACACGGCTACCCCCTTATACATGAATATTAGTAATTATCCTTCTTGTTTCTCTGCTTTGGAAGTTGTCATTTGAGTGCAGGTGTGTAATGGTGGTGAATAGCAGCTGGAGCAGTGCTGAAAAACTTGTGCTGCCTGCGTTATCTAGGATGGACTCTGGTACTTCCCCCTCCCCTCAAATTCCCCAGGAGAAAATTCCCTACTTTGAAATAAGAATGAAGAACCATTAGAAAGCAGACACCAAAGCTAAATGCTTCTCTTTGTGTTTGTGATTTTTTAAAAATATATGTTATGCAAAAATGATCCCTGTTTTTCTAAAACCTCATTTTTTAGAAATGTTATCCTTTTGTTAAGTATTCTGGGAGAGGGCTCGGGTGAGATTTCACTCTAAACAGTGCGTTTCCTTTCATATTGTGTTCCTCCACGGCTTCTCCTTCTTGGATTCTGTTCTGCATCCTGCTGAAGTTTCTGAAGTGACCTCAATAATTCTCTCTTACAGGGCTACTTTGAGTTCAGCGGCAGCAGTCCCCGTTGCTGCTGTTGTAGCTCACTGCCTTTCCTTGGTACCGTCTAGATTCGCAGCTTGTACATTTGTAACTTGAGCATCATTCTGTGAAATTGCGGTCCTCAGAGCACACAATCTGGCCCCCCAATGCGGGGTATATCTGTACTAGTTCATCTCCCAAGCACGAGTGACAGTCCCCGCCTCAAAAAGATGACCTCACTGAAAATGACAGAATTCTACAATCCATTATGTTTTTTATTGTTTTAAATTTTGAAATAGAAAATAGTTACCCAAGCCAGGAGTACTAAACTGTCAGCTGCAAACATCCAGCTGACACGCACAAGCATGTTAATTGTGTAACTGGACAGTTCAGCCTCTAGAAGAGGAAGCAGTGTTTTTAGTTTACCGTAAAGTTAAACCTTCATGGCACAGAACAACACACTGTCACTTTAGCATAATTCATTGAGGTAACATCGATTGCCCCAGAACAGCCAGTTTATGGCCTGCAAAGGAAAACGGGGGTGATTTTATTAGTTTGTAGATGCTTACGTACACCCTAATATGCCATGAATGAAAATGTGCTCTCTGGAAGGGGCAGTTAGAGGCATTGTTCTTCTGGGGCTAAGGGGAGAGAACTTGGGAGAAGAGGCCTTTGACCACATCATATTGTGTTTCCAAGTGTGTAGCTGGTTCATGATTTTTTTAGTGACTCATATTTATTGTAATAGATAAACAGTCAGATTCTGCGTCCTCCTTTTCTGCTTTGTGTGTGTTTTGTGTTTGGTTAGTTAGTGATAAACTAGAAAGTTTTCATACAGAGACCTGGAACTAAATTACTATTTAAAACTTATTTTACATTTGATGCTAATAGAGGACATTTCAGTGAATTTCAAAATGAAGGCTGTCTTTGTGATGTGCTTTTAAAAAAAAATCCTGTTTTCTTGGAATGTCATCACTGTTTTAAGTGTTCCTGTTAAATACAAATTTATTTAAAAAAATAATGTGCCAGATAACTAATTTGGTGTGAATGACTGATGCCTTTGCTGTTGCTATAGATATCCCTGAGGAGGAAGCCAGATATTGGACCAAAAAACTAGAACAGATAAACTCTTTGGGAGATCGTGGTGAGGTGAGTAAACCTCACTTGAAACAGGCGAACACTATAATTAAAGTAGGATTCTGATCCAAAATGCTCCGGAGTGTACTGTAGTGCTATGCAGAATTTCCATGACAGTTAAGTTTAGGTCATTACTACAGTTTTCCTTCATTCACAAGTTTTTCATTGAGCTGTTCACATTCCCTTGTGTGTAGTGTTAATGCTAGCTAGAATAAGGGCTTGGCTACACTTGCAAGTTAGAGTGCATTAAAGCAGCCCCAGGCGTCCTAACTCACGACCCGTCCACACTGGCAAGGCACTTAGAGCGCCTGGACTCTGCAGCTGGAGCGTACCTACTAATCCACCTCCATGAGAAGCATAACGCTTGCTGCGCCTTGGCTGAAACGTCCCAGTGTCAGTGTGAACGCGCTGTTGCATTACTGCGCTTTGATCGGCCTCCGGAAACGTCCCATAATCTCCTTAAGTCAAGTGGCCACTCTTGTCATTGTTTTGGAATCGGCTGTAGGAATGTGGATATGCGCTTTGGAAGCTCTGTTTCTGACAGCCGGCATGCTGCTCCAGGACAAAGCAAGCCATTAGTGTGGAATGCTGCTGGTGTGTGTGTGTGTGTGTGTGTGTGTGTGTGTGTGTGTGTGTGTGTGTGTGTGTGTGTGCGCGGGGGAGGGAGAGAGTCTGCTGCTGTCTGACCTTAAGACAGCATGCTGACATGCTCTCAGCCCCCCCAAAACCCACTCTCTCTCCCCCCACATACACACAACACACTCCCTGTCACACTCCACCCCACCTCCCCCATTTGGAAAGCACGTTGCAGCCACTTGCCTGCTGGGCTAGCTACCACAATGCACTGCTCTCTGTGGCCATTGCAAGAGCTGCTAATGTGGCCGCGCCAGTGCGCTTGAATCTGACACTGTGAACACACGGCAGCGCTTTCCCTACTGCGCTCTCCGAGGGCTGGTTTAACTCTCAGCGCTCTACATCTGCAAGTGTAGCCATGCTCTAAGAGAGACTGCAGCATGTGAACATTGAGGGGAAATTGATTTTTGCATGATACTTAGATTCAAAACAAGTGTAAAACTCTGGCTCTGCTAGACAGCAGGATGAGGCAGTTAGGAGAGTAGTGCTGCCCCAGGCTATATTCGTTGTTATCTAAAACCAAAAAAGGAACACTTCAGTTTCTTGGTGTATATTTTGCATAAACAGCTAAGGACACTTGTCTTATTCAAGGTGATATTCATCTGGTTGATGGACTTAATTTCTTGCCTTTAAGGAACTTGTTAACTCCAACAAGGGCAGGTGTAAACAGTGTTAACCAAAAGTGTAATACATGTTTCTCTGCTTACCAAGAGAGTATTGCTAAAAGGTCCTGTTGGTGATCGATGTAGGGTGTCGAAGTTCGGGGGAAATTTATTGTACCCTTAACTTAGCCTTCCTCCGTTAAGTATGTTAGTGGATTCATTGTGGAGATTGAGAATACTCAGGCAGAAGTTAAGTCTTGTCTTGAACTGTTTAACCTAGTCTCGCAGCTGTGTATAGGTGGATGAAAAATAGCTTGTGTGTAGCTTCTTCTGGCTTCAGGGAGCATTTCCAGTAATAGCTCTAGGGCTTCTTGGTATCTGTGAACCTAGTGAAAAAGCAAGTCATGAGAACTTATAACTTTTCAGTAATTCTGCTGCAATACATCCTGCCTCCTGGGTTGAAAGCTGAGTTTTAGCAGGGGAATTCTAGTGCCAAACACGCAGTGGAACATAGGTGCCCTCTAGTGATCCATCAAATTCTCGGTAGATGAAGAAGTTTGTATGAATTGTGATGCAATCACCAGTTCTTTTAGCTGCCTTGTCTGCTCATCCAGCCTGTTCTTTCTCGCTGTGCTTACCTATTCAGCTTCTTGCTAGTCAGTGGAAAGAAAGTACGTCCCTGTATTTACTTCCTCATTTATTGTGAAATAGCCCCGCTGGTGGTCAGTGTAAGGCATTGATTAACGAATCAATATTTCAAAACTTGCAGCTTCCACTGACTTTGGAGCCCTTTTCCCCAGCTCTTGGCTGGTGAGGGTTGTGTTCTTGACATTTTGCCTAATAGGATTAGAAATGATTCTACTTATCTTCTGTCTCTCGCCTCAGACAGACACTGGATTATTTTTGAATTATTGGTCCACAGTGGGAGGAGGCGGCCAAAATAATATCATAAACATCTCCAGGGAGCACTTTTAATGCTGTAGCAGACCTTTTTGGAATAAGCCAAAATTGGTTAAATGGAATCTGTGTACTCCAGTGTAGTGTTAAATAAGATGTAAAATCCTTCATGTTGTTGGATGTTTCCAGACTCTGCTGAAAGAGTGTTCTGGTTATTGCACTACTAATGAGCACATTAATTATCTAGCTCTTTCCCAGTTTCCACATCCAGCACTGCCACAGCATTCAAACATGGGTACCTCAAATTCACATTTAGGCATCTAATATATAAATTGCTGTATTCTCAAGCTTCTGAGTGAGCACACATTCCACTGAAATCACTGCTCAGCAGCTCTGAAAGGTAGACATTTATATTTTAGGTGACTAAATATGGATTTAGGTGCCTAATTTGAGGCCCCCAAGTCTGAAATTTTTTGTCTTGAGCTTTTAAAGTAGATAAGACTTTACCCAAGCCTTGTGTGCAGCTATTAACAGATATTTTGGCATGGGATAGTGCCAGTTTTTACTTTTCTGGGAGCATGTTCTGTATTTGGGTATTAAGGAAAATATTATTTTGTACTTTAACACCTCCCACGCCAATATACTCTCAGAGCGTAAGCTTGTTACGTTCTGGAAATCCTGTTTCATAAGGTTACTTTCAGTCTGTTATCTGTCTGCGCTCTCTCTTTTGTCTTCCCTTAGTATTCATTTTCAGAAGAAGTCCAGAAGAAACCATTGCCCACTGCTGCCTCCCAGTGTTGTAAGTATGACTTTATTTTCTCTCTCAACACTATGTTCTTTTAAATAACCATAGGGTGAAAGGGCATTAGTTTAACATAGGCTGGTATATCTGGGCAAAGGTCTCTAGTTAGAGCTGCAGTTAGGAAATGGCAGCCTGCCTTGTAGAAGGTTACATCTAGGTCTGATGTTAAACTAGCCATTTTTATAGGTCAGGAAGAATTCTCTAAATGTAGGCTTCTGCCATAAGAATGATCTTAACTGTACAAGATTAATAGTGAAATCTAAAACTCTGCCTTTAACCTATTCTTGTTTTACCTATGTAGTAGGCACATAAGGTTTATGAGATCATCCAAAATGTTCAGATCTCTGTAGTAACTATGGATAATGGGAGAGTTGGATGGAATATATTTCAGTCTTCACTCTGAGGTTGCTTTTTTTTCCCCCTGTCAGATCATTAACATGATTTTTAAGAGTATTTTATGGTAGTCTTATGACTTTTTTTAATGGTGTATTTTTTTGAGAAGGAGAATATTTGGAGGCTGAAATCATGTCAGTGCACCTGTAAAAATGTAGCAACATTTTGTGTATTATTCCTAATATTGCATTTATTCTCAGCATATTCTTTAAAACCGTGAGATGAAAAAAAAATCATTAATGTTGTTTCTGCTTTAACTCACTATTTTGGGTCTGTTTCCTTTTTGGTACTTATGAAAATGTGAATGGGGGAAGAGTTTAGCACATGTTGTATACTGATTGTTTTGCAAAATTATATTTTTAGTTTGTAGCAGGGAGGGGATATCTAATGCTATTGTAAGGTGAAAGCAAAGTTGATACATCCTTTAATGGCTTGACTGCTTTTGGAAGTGTAACAGGGATGGAAGGGAATGCTCAGGCAATATTCTCTATAACTATACACTCCCCTTCGTCCTCAGCGTAACTCTTTGGTGAAGTACAGGTCAGAGTTCAGTCTTTTCAGGACTTTTCAAAAAGCATTACACAGCGTTAAACCTCAGGGCTATTGTATGTAAAACCCTGATAAATGGATGGTAATAGACCCCAGTCAATTTCAAAGGGAGAGCACTATACGCTGTCTCAGTAAATCAGACAGTGCACACAGAACACATTTTAAATAGTATAAAATATTGTAAGTATGTTTGAAATACTATGAATCAATTTTAAACAAAAGCTATTTGACAGTAAACTTCTGGTGTCCCTTGTACAGACTTGCACCTTTTGTTTCTGTTACAAACATTCAAATATAAAGCTTCAGCATAACGTTCTCTATACTTCAACACAGCACGTCCCCTCTGATCTTTTTTCAGAGGTCATTTTTCAGCCTTTCTGGCATGAATGTAGTATGTAGTGTGTCACCTGGACTCTGCAGAGCTTGAGAAATGGCAGGTCTCAGTCCTTCCAAGAAGTCTGTAGTCTGTATCCAGAGTGGTGCAGGGGTTGGGATCAGCATATAAAATATCCATTTCCTGGAGCTTGTTACAGGGCATCATCTCTCCAGAAACCCAGCTAAGTCAGGCAAGAATTCACAAACCTTCAGCTCACTAAGTGCTGCCCCAGTCGCTCCCTCGAAGTGAGATACAGTCCCAGTTAGCTGATAGCTCAATGGAAGTTCCACAGGCTCTGTAGCCTCTAGGGGTAACAAATGCTCCCCTGCCAGCTTTCCCTGGAGGTCCATAAAACATACCACAGTGATAGGTCCATCAATGGCTATTAGCCAAGGTAGTCGGGGACCACCCCATGCTCTGGGTGTCCCTAAACCTCTGACTGCCAGAAGCTGGGACTGGATGACGCGATGGATCACTCGATAATTGTGCTGTTCTGTTCATTCCCTCTGAAGCATCTGGCATTGACCACTGTTGGAAGACAGCATACTGGGCTAGATGGGCCATTGGTCTGACCCAGCATGGCCGGCCTTATGGTCTTATGATCAAACATTATCTTAATGCAGTGGTTCCCAAACTTTAACAACCTGTGAACCCCTTTCACTAAAATGTCAAGTCTCGTGAACCCCCTCTTAAAAATGAATATTTCCAGGGATTTTCTCCTTTACCTGAGTATAAATTATAAAAGCAGTGATCTTGGAAATATAAAATTTGTTTTTGTGACATGTTTATCACACACTATGTATTATTATTGATCATTACAGTATTTTTATTGCATTATGAAAATGGCAACACTCTTCCAAGATCTCACTTTTGTAGCTTGTATCACTTTGAATAAGCCTGTTATAAGACAAGGCTCCTATGTTTCATCAAGGAGTATCAGATGTGAAACATCATGAAGGTATTTAAGAAGCCAACTCAAAGAGTTCCTCCTACACAAGCATTCAGGTCTTGAGCAGTCCAGGCAAACAACGCACGTTACAACAAAGCTTAAATTTGTTCTTCATAATAATTTTAAAAATAATACTAGCTGCCTATTTAATTTTAAAAACAGCAAAAAATATCCACCTCCCTCCTTTCCATTTCTTATAAGGAGTCTTGAAGGTTAAGTCTCCTCAGTGTCCCATGCTGCCCAGGGTCCCTAGGGACAGCTTTGTCCGCCATTAGGGAATTTTTCCCTGAGAACCCCCTGTAACATTTCGTGAACCCCCAGGGGTTCACGAACCCCAGTTTGGGAAACACTGTCTTAATGGAGGGCTTCCCTGGTAAATAAAGCTGGAAGAGCACTAACCCATACCCAGAGTGGTACAGAGATTCACACCCAGCCCACGCAGCAGACGCATCTTTTGGTCTTGCTTTGATCAGTCACTCAGTCCATAGAGCTGTCTTTAACTTCTGTATTTAGATCCTTCCCCCCGCCCCCACTGCACTTTGGTTACATCAGCGCTCCGAGGGTGACTTGGGTGTCACCTGCCAGGTGGGTTGCCCACAGTGAAAACTTTATATAATACAGCATCAAAACAGCTACGGAGCATGTCCGGTAACTGCCGCACCCTGTTCTGGAAGTTTCTGGGACCCTCTAGATGAGTTGCCCTGCTCTGCTCTCTGCACATGTGCAGATACTCAGAATATCTAGCTAAGATCCTAGTCTCCTCCCCTGGAGCAATATAGTGAAATGCTGCAGTATCATGTGGGTTACAGAAGCAACATAATAAAATTCATGCTCTGTAATTCAAACAAGTCTGCTATCCTCTGTTAAAATCCTATAAGGCTAGGGTATTACACTCTACAGGTTATTTATCCAATAGGCTGATTATGGGATCGCTACAAAGCTGTTAACATTAGTAAAGGTTAATTACTGTTTACCTTTTTTTGGACAGGAGAATTATCTGTGTGTGGTTTAATCATTTTGTCTGTAATATCTTCAGAGATTTTGAACATTTAACCAGTTAAAACATTCAGGTTTTCCTGGTCAGTTCTAGCTGAAAGCCCTACCAGAGAGTTTATCGAGCATCCCAACAGTGGTATCTAAAATAATTCCAAGTGCAGCTTTAAAAAGTAAACAAATACTGTAGGTATTAAAGCAGGAAAATAATCCTTAAAATGGCTCCACATACAGAAAAGGACAATTATCGTATAAAATTTAAAACCAACAAACTGAATTGAAAAAACTAAAATATTTAAGTTGAGATGACTTAGCTACCAGGCTCCAAACTTCAAAGGATCAAAGAAAAGCAGTACCAATGTAAAATGGCTGAGGAATAAATGTTCTTCCAGATCATTAAAATGACTTTCCTGGCTGCCTGCAGTAGCAATACAGAAGATTCTCAGCAGTTGTGAAAGGCTCATGTAAATGATCTTTTCCAAATCTCATGATGTGTGGGTGAATCAGGAGGAATTTTCATGTATCAGATAGCTGCACCTGTTTCCACAGCACAGCATTTTTAAATCTTAAAGCTCCCATGACAAGCATCGTCTGCTGTGTATAAAGCTTTCATTTTATGTAAATCAAGGTTGTAAAAATTAAAACTACAATTGTAATTTCTAGACCTCTTGCTAGTAGCCTCAGTCTTGCTAGAAAGCAATCTTATTTATGAAACAGATAATGTGAAGGCCTGATGTCGGATCACAAATCAATTTTCATCTTGTTTAAAGAGAAAAATAAACTTATCAAACATTACACAGGCTATGTAACTATTCTTTCTTGGAACAATGGCATTTTGTAGCCTTCCAGCCAAATGGAAAACCTAGGAGGAAACAGATCTGTTAGCAGTCTCCAAAGTATTAAATAATAGATCTTGCATGAGTGGTTAATTTGATTTGACCCTGGGCTTGAAAATGGAGCCATTAGAAATGTGGCAATGTAAATGTATACAGTAAGTGGCCAATCTATTAAATCTTTTTGAACTCCCAGTAAATTCTTTATAGCACACCCCTATCTACTCTGTCTATTGCCTTCAGTGGGAGCTGAGTGCTCAGTATCTCTGAAAATCAGGCTACTTGCATACCTACATATGTAAGTAGTCCTTAGCAAGTTCTGAAACCTTTGGCCTTGTAGCTCTTATTTTTACATAGTAAATCTGTGGTTGTGCTGTTCCGAAGAGTACAGTGGGAGTCATGAGTGCTCGTACAGCTTCTGCACTGCCAGTATATAACTCAGTACTTTGCGGGGGGGAGGGAGGGAGAGGGACGGACAACAAAAAAAATTAAGAACCTTTAAGCGTTTAAATCTTAAAAGAAAAAAGTCTAGGACAGACCGGTTGTAATTCCATAGTGAAGGCTGAGTTGAGTTTTCCTTGTCAAACAGGGATTCAATCTCTTAATCTATGAAATAATATAGCTTATCCGACCTAAAAGTATAGCGCTTTGAGATAGAAGGAATATTCTTAGAATTTACAAATGCATCGGCTAATTTTGTTAAAAATCAATTTTTAAAAAAGCCCAAGAAATTTAGCACTCATCAGACTTATCCTAAATGAGATAAGAGACTTCCCAAGCTTCCCATAGGAATTACCAGATGAGATCAGACCCAAGATCTATTGAGTTCAATATCCTGTCTCTGACAAGAACCAGCACCAAATGCCTCAGAGGATGGTGCAAGAACCCCAGAGTAGGCAGATGT